TAAGAACAGTCAGGATTTGAACACTGGACAGTTAACCCCAAGGCACTGTATCCTTTCCTTTCTGTACTCTTTGCCAACGCAAAAAATTAAACAAAAAGATTCAAGAAGTTAAATTTGCATTTGGCCTACTGGTTAAGATGCTCACATCCCATACTGGAGTGTCCGGGTTTGATACCCAGCTCTGCTCCTGACTCCAACTTTCTGCCGCTGAGCACTCCGAGAGGCAATAATAAAGGCTCAAGCGATGGGGTCACTGTCACTCATACAGGGGACCTGGATTGAGCTCCCAGCTCCCAGCTTTGGCCCTGCGTCCCTCATCATTGTGGGCATTTGGGGAGTGGATCGTGGAAGTATTCTCGCTCACACTCTCTGTCTCTCTCTGTCTGTCTCTCACTCAAATAAATAACAATTTCAAAACATATTTATTAATAAAGAATTTTTTAAAGAAAATCTAACATGTTGTGGATGAGTTCTTCAGAGAAACTAAAGTTCAAGGTATTTTCAGAAAAAAAAATGACTCTTTAATATTAAAACTCCACCTCTCTCTCCTGGGTGCATTCTATTGTCCTTTTTGCACCTCGTCAATCCTGTGGGGTCGGAGTGCCAGGCTACGCCACAGCAGCCACAAACCAGAGGACAATGCATGTACAGATATGCTCTGTCAAACCCCTGAGTATTTAAAAGATGGAATCCACTTGGCAAAATGCACAGATTTCACATAAAATTTCATCTTCTTATGACTTTTCTTGGACAACCAAATGATTCCACAACCCCAGGCCCATCTTTTTAAAACAATGTTCAACCAGAGCTTAGTGGCCCCTGTCTGGCTCTTGAGTTTCCTGTAGTTCCTCACCACTGTCAATTATGTCCGTGGAGGCAGACCAACCACAGCTGCCATTTTTCATAACGTTTGTGCTGTTATTTCTCTTATAACTGAGAAATATTTTTCCAAACCGTGTCTCTTTCGATAGATGGAATGGCCTCATTCTCAACCCTCCTTATATCTGCCCCTTTACAATGCTCTCTTCATGAGTACAGTGCACTAAGCCGTGCATCTTACTTTGCCCAATGGAATGGGGCAGAAATCACAGTGTCAGTTCAAGATGAGGCCTTAGGAGCCCTTGAATTTTTTTTTTTTTTTTTTTTTTGCTTATTCTTTTATGCCAGTGCTACTGCCATTAGAAGAGCTTTCCCTGGGTTGCTGATGCCTCTTCAGCCTGAGCCTCAGGAGGAACCCATGTGGAGCAGAGGTGCTCCAGCCAGCTCACAGACATCAGGGAGTGGTAGGAGTGCCCAGCCACGCCCTCCCTAGAGCCACTGAGCCACTCAGTCAACCTGCAAATCTATAAGAATGAACTACCGATATCCTGAAGCCACTGGGTTTTGGAGGAATGTGTTACCACAGCATTATTTTAGCAATTGTTACCTGCTTCATGTCTACCAAAAATAGAAAATAAAAGAAAGGCTGAAAGAATCAAACATCGCCATTCCTCTTACATGAAACTCTGTTTCTTACTCATGTTAGTAGCCCCTAGGTCCTAAAGGTATCTGAGTTTGCAGTTTGTAAACTGCAGCTCATAAACATAAGACTAAAGAGGGTCAGATTGGGGAAACGTTTTGCACCATGAGTCTACAACCAGGTTTGGCATGATCAGCTACCTACAGCATGATCACTACCTACATCCAACTTTGTCTCTGGTTTTCATGCCAACTAGAGGAATCTCTTCAAACTCCCTCTTGAACACTGACCCAACCCACTGCTCACAATATGCCACCAGATATCTTTCTGGATATACTACCTAGTTGGTTCATTGAAATGTTGACACCAGGGTAGTCAATCACTGCAAAACATTGGTGTAGACTATATCGAATTCAGAGGGTGCCAATCACATAACCACAATCTAATCAATTAATCAACCAAATCTAATCCTGATTGACTGGCACTTCAAGGACTTAACAGGGTAGCATATGACTAGGAAGTGCTTAAAACAACAACCATATTAAGAACTCAGGCGCCTTCATAAGTTCTGTTTCCAGAAGGCAGTCATTACTCCATCTGAGCCCATCTGCTCAACAAGCCAGGACAGTGGGAGGTTCACTCTATTAACCTTAACCAGAGGCATTTTCATCAAAATTAATCGTGATCACTTTTTATTGCATTTCAAATGCTATCCTTCATTTGGGGTGGTCAGGAATGCAACTAAGCAATTCCAGACCATGTTATCTTTTATAAATAGGTCTGCGAGGTAGTTATCAAGGCCCCGTATGAAAATATTGCTATACAAAAGTTCACGGGCCAAAACAAGACATTAATTTCCATAACTAGTTGTGTTCTTAGAAAAGAAGAAATTGTTATATATAGAAAAAAAAAACTTTGATGCTCAGTGCCTAACAGAGTAAAACCGTGTACTAACCATGTATCTAACAGACAACTCTCTTTTTAAATGTTTCTTTCACCTGTGTTTATTATAACAGTTAATCACTGATACTTATTTTGAGCATGGCCTGTGTCATACACAATTAGAAATTGTTTACATGCACTGGTTCTTTAGCCCTCATAACAACTTTGGAGTAGATATAACTAGTATTCCTCTTTAAAGATGAGTAAACTGAGGGTTATGGAGGTTACGTAACCTTCCTAGGGATACTCAGTTGGTAAAATCTGAAGTCTGGAATGAAACCCAGGCATTCTATCTCCACAGTCAGTTAAATATATTAACAGCAACACTTCCTTCATGAAAATTGCCACACAAAGAATTTTTGTGTCCTAACTGTTCCTTGCACTACCCAACCTCCGTATCTTCTTGACAGTTCATCTTCCTTCTTGCTCCATCTCTCCCATAACAGATTCATTCAGCTCAAATCTCACCCGATCCACGAAGACTCCCTACCACCCTATGGCTTTCTTGCCTTCTTAATTCTTCACAACCCTCATCATCTAAAGACACTTGGATCCAGATTTAAGTCCTGGCTCTGCCACTTGCTAGCTAGGCCATATTGGGCAAGTTACTTTATCTCTCAGCACCTCCTCCTTCTAATATAGCAAATGGGACAAGATTAGCCTACTCCCGTAGGCCAGCTGGAATGGATGTCTGTGGTTTCATCTGCCCAGAACCCCTTCCAGTGACAAAAATCATTTCTTTCCTGTGGGACATCATCACCTGTCCCATGCTAGCCCCACAGGATTCAGAAGAGGCTGACCCCCTTCCTCTATGCTGCAGGGGATCAGGTGCCCCAGCCCTGGCCTGCATGCTATGTACATGCTATCCATGAATACTAGCTAGGTCTACCAGTCAGAGTCACTCTCCTTCCCTGGGGGTGACTGCCTTCTTGGACGGAAGGCTGGCTGCTCGTGGCCGCCCATTCCAGAGCATCTTCTTGAGAATCCAGGCAACAAAGAGCAGAGGATCCCTGCGAGGAGGAGGGAACACATTCCTGATGCCACCTCTGGAATCCCTGGATGCAGTAAAGCCAGACACCCACTTCCGGCCTTTACAGTGTGTTTAGCGAACAAATTCTCCCTTTTTCCCATTTAGATGGAGTTTGGTTCCTGTCACTCACATGGCAGAATCTTGATTAACCCAGGAGACAGAGAATTGAATAACAGTCACTCTGCAGTATGTGGCACAGTGCCCAGCAAATTCAAACACTCAATAAATGGTTCCTACCACTGTTACTGTTCATCTACGTTAGTTCCCAAAGGCAAGAAAACCTGGAGTCAGGTCCATCCCCAGCCTGCACTAGAATGGTATTTTGCAACTTTTCTGAGACTCTAATTTCTCCCTATGTAAAACCACCAACATCAGTTCAAGGAATAAATGAGACTAGATGGTTGGAAGGAGAGTAAAATTTCTGTATTTCCTTTCTGCACTCTCTGTCTTTAAGCTCCAATCTAACATATTCTGTGATAGTTGGGAGGCACTAAAACCCAAAACCCTGGAACATGATTTGCCAAGAGCATTGGGAAGCTGTGGCTTCAAGTAACTTCTTAGTCCACGCTAAAGGGGCTCACAGTGGAAGAGCAGACCCGACCCTCCTGTTGCGTTATTCAGTGAATGCTCTGGATCACACATCAGTGGAAAAGGAGATTAAGTGAAACTAATATTGACCAAGCAGCCCTCGCGCATCATGCTCTGAGCAAGGTGTTTTCTACTATGGAGTAATTATTTATTTCTCTTTGGGTCAATTAAAAAGATGAACTATGAGTACATATTAAAATTATCTAACTTCTTCCATCTCCAAGGAGGAAACCTCATATATAACTGGAGAAAGACACTAATTAATAAGTAAAATTTAACATGAACTCCGGCCAAGTAGAACTTGCACTGTTCTGTTTAAAGGCACACTGGAATAAATAAAGGAACTTCAAAGCAAATGCCCCGTTTTAACTTGAATGTTTTATTGAGCACATGGGGAGAGATTCCTTTGGCAAAAACAGGGATGGTTAATGAGGAAAAATTGGTGTTTTCAGTAGGTCGTTTGGTTTCTAAGAAAGGGCTGGTCATTGAGAGATAACTGAATTCATGGAGAAAACAGAATAACGATCCAGTCAGAGCCTCAACGTTTGAACAAAGCAAAACTTGTTTTGTAAACTGAGATCAGCTAAATACATACTTTTCCACAGACCTGCTGTGATAACACACACGTTTGCCTTCCACTAACCCCAAAACAAGGCAAATAAAAACACAGAAGACATGAGAAGTAGTTTTAAGCTTCTTATAAACTATACACATGCAGCCCTTACCTTTTAAGGTGAGATACAGGAACCAAAAAAATTTCAAGCAGTATTTCCCGGGATCCACCACAGGCAGCTTTTCCTGGGCACCATTTTGAAAATGGTGCTCCACACTTGGGAAGACCTATTGGGTTCCTCGGGAGTCTATTGTGAGAGCCGGACTGACGGCAGAGGCAAGTTCACCATGGCCATGCACAGTTCCCCACAGCAGTGGCTCACAGTGCAGAGTCCATCTCCAGGTATAAGAAGAGAAGCCTGGACTCACCTGCAAATGCTGTGAGTTGTCAGCCATGCTATCCTCTCGCCTGCGGACTTCCTCCAGTAACTGAGCATTCTTTTTCTTTTCCAGCTGTTGGTTGTGCTTGAGGTTGGCCACCTTCTTGTTCTGATCCTTCATATGCCTGAGAAAAGTCAGCACAGTTTGGTTACATACAGCCACTGGAGGATCATGTTATTGCAAGAGATTCAAGAAGTGTCAAGCATAGAATATCTTGATATGAACACCAGAAGAAGTTGGGACCTCCAAATATGCTATGCATTCCACTGAAATTAAGTGCTGAGCACCCACTTAATACCAGGTGCCAGGATGCAAGGGGGCTGCAGGGGGAAATGAGAAAAGTGCTCTGGAGTTTGGAGTCCAGTGGGCAAGACACAAAAGTACCAAGGAGACCCAGGTTAGATTTCCTAATGTAGAAGGAAATAAATACCATGCTGAGAAAGATGGTGATGTGCATATGTGAACAGGGGTATGGTGGGAGGAGATGACTTTAGACACTGTGCCCAGGGAGGGCCTCCCTGAGAGGTGGGACTGGAAGGAGTAAGCAGAATCAAGGCCAGTGGAGGAGCTCCCCTAGCAGAGAGAACAAAGCACGCAACTCCCACGGCAGGAAGGGAGCTGGCTACTTCAAAGAACTGGAAGACTTCACTGAGGCTACCCTAGGGTGGGAAGGGGAAGTGGAATAGGAGACCGGACTGCAAAGGTAGCCAGGGCCTGGGCACACAGGGCCCAGTGTTCCACAATGCGGTGTTTATTTTCTTCTAAGTGGTTGCTGTTCTAATTATTATTATTCTTTTGGATCATGTTCTTATTCTGAGATCATAATCCATTACTTTGATTTTAAAATAACAAGTGCAGGGTTCCAATCAAATACACTGTCATCACTTAGCTCAAACAGAATAACAGTTTGGCTAATCATAATGTTAAATAAAGTCCCGGTGCTTGAAGTAAAATTTCTTAATGGAGCTATAGGACGTCAAAGGACAAAATCATAAAGTGGCCAAGTGTGTAAAAGACTATGGATAAAGGACATTTAAAATTAAAAAATACCAGGAGGCCCAGACTTCGTGTGAGCTATTTCACCAGAAGCGTTTAGACAAACATTCCACAGATTTAGGCAACCATGTCCACAGCAGCTGTTATAAATCTAATCCAACATACAAGGAGGCAGAAGGGCAGTCCAGAGGGCTTGGGAGCCGTGGCTCCAAAAGACAGGGCCTTGGAGCAGAATCACTGGGGACCCTCGCTAAGCCCTTCACCCCTTCTCCCCAGCATAGCTGTGAGCGAGCCCTGACTCCCAAAACAAGCTTATGGAGAAAATGATAAGCACAAGGTATGCCGAAATGAAAGAACTAAAAATTTTTTAAAAAGCACCTTACAAGAAATGTGTATGTATGCTCCTTATAAAATGATACACACCCTCACTCCTTCCTACCTCTGTAAAATCAAGTTTAAGAGAATTAATAATTAAGCTGAATAATCTTCTATCAGGCGTCCTGGTAATAAAAATTTGCCTGGACACTTTCAGAAAATTATCTTTTAGCTACCACAAAAATGTTAAGAATGACCTCTTGCCTTCTAATTGAATAAGGAGATAGTATTTCCAAAACTCATATGAATTTGGGGACACATACATTTTCTAGTTCCTTAGCAAATAAAGCCCAAACTCAGTAATAGGTTGTGATGGAGAAGTCAGTATGATTAGTAAGATTGCTTAATTAGAGGAAATTTTTATAAATAAATGCTTTTATTCCTTTAAAGCATACCATCAGATCAAGCCAACTGTTAAATCTTTTCCCAAGTACCAGTGCCAAAAATAGATTATTATTATAAATATTATTTGCATAAAGAATTCCCACAAAGTTCTAAGAGCCCTCTGAACATACAGACATTACTTTCAGGGATAGTGCAATGTTTTCCCAATCCAAATAGGAAAAACAAATTCCAAACACATATGTCCCTTAAAGCTTTCCAGAATTAAGAATCAGTGGCTGAGAAAACCAGGGGACTGAAGTTCTGTTACTGTGAAGGGGCCCATCTTCAGTATTCCCCAACCATCCCTGTAAATGCTGCCTTATTTAAGATCCCAGTGTTGGAAAAAGAATAGCTGGGTTTCTAATGGCACTGTTTAGAATCTGGACCAATTAGATTGATGCAGAACAAAGTAATAAAAGCAATCAAGGTGGCAGGCTTTGGCATGGCAGTTAAGATACCATTTTGGATTCCTGTAGTTCATACGGGAGTGCTTGGATTTGAGTCTTCATTCTGATTCTGATTCTACCTTTCTCTAATGTACACCTGGGAGTCAGCAGACCATGGCTCAAGTACTTGGGTCCCTGTTACCCATGTAGGAAATCCAGATTTAGTTCCAGTCTCCTGACTTCAATCTGCTCAGCCTTGGCTGTTGCAGGCATTTGGGGAGTGAACCAGCAGACAGAAGACTGATCGATCAATCGATCTATCTTTCAAGTAAAAAGAGAAATAAAATTTTATAAAAAGATCATCTGTGCACCAAACTATAAATGGCTACATGCAAAGTATGAACACATCCCTGCCATAGATTCATGGCTTTCAAATATTTCTAGCAGTCAAACTTGCTTGTCTAATAATAATAATTAAAAAAAAAAACACCTGGGATGCCAGAAAGGAAAAGAAGAATTGTTCTGGCAGAGGTATAAGAGAAGCAATGAGTACAGCGGGGTGGGGAACAGATGAGCAAAGCCCTAGCTCCTAGACAATCCTGCTCTGGGCTGTCCCACAGGGAGGGCCAAGGGCTATCTGAAACACAGCTGGAAAAGGCAATTTATGAGGGAGGCAGGCAATGGAGTCAGGAAATGTAACATCACCATATCCCTTGGAAAAGACAAAACACTCCACATAAACCTAAGGGTGCTCTGTGTAAATGCAACTCAGTGGTCTGGAGTAGCATCAACCACAGCAACTTCAGGAAGACAAGGTATAAGTGACTGATGAGTAACATGCACTGAATAAATCAATGTGCTGACCTCAACAGAGTTCTCAATAGAGGCTCTAAAATCTGGGACGTGGGGTCCCAGGAAAGCATATTATAATACCCTCCTGCTATACACCCCAGAAAAAAGGGTCCCTGAGACCTCTCAAGTCCCATCCACTGGACAACTCAGGTGGTTCTAACCCTCTGCCAAAGACTGACCTGTTCTATGTTCAAAAAAATAATTTGTTTGGAGTGAATATTTTCTCCAAGCAAATGCAATTAAAATATATGCAAAAATTTGCAAAAAAAAATGGATAAAAGCAATTATGGTGGGGAAAAGAGTGATCAATTTCCAAGAATTTTGATTAAATAAAAATATTTCCAGTAGGTATCAAAGTTATAATGGCTGCTACGTTAAGAAAAGATGTCAAAGAAAATAGAATCTTGCTAGGTTTACCAGAAGAGCCTGTCAAATTTCAACCAGAAAGTATTCTCTAATGTGCTGGTTTCAGGATTTGAGACCTCAAGAATTACACAGCTGAGAGTAACAGACAGGAGATACAGGTGTTTATCTGAACGCATTGCCATATTTGCAGGTAAAGATGTAAAACAAAGCATCTCTTAAAATCCCAAAAGAAACAACGTGCCATATTTTACCCATGTACTCTCAAATACTTCAACAGACTGATAAAGTTCATTGTTTGAGAGGATGCTGGAGCCAAAGCTTTTTTGGAAATCAGTTTGGCATGATGTACCTTTTGCTGCAGTAAATCTCATTTTCTAGCAAAGTAGCCTGCATAAAGGCTTGCACATGTACGCACATACATATATACAAACATTTTCACTACTGCAGTAAAAGTGCATGTTTTAAAACTGTCTAGTTGTCCACCAGAAGGAAAAAAGACTGAATAAATGAAACACATTCACGATTAGGAATCAGACTGTCTAAAAAGATTAAAGCAAAATAAACTGTGGACATGACACATTGTTCAAGATACGTTGTTAATCAAAAAATAAAAAGGTAGCAGAAGAGTACTTGTAGCCTGAACTCATGTATGTTAACTTACAAAAGTCCAATTGGCTGTATCTACCTGTATACACACAATTGCATGTGAAGGGGAACTCCTGAAGACTGATACCAACCTATAAATTATGGCTATCATCCCGAAGTGGACAGGATCAGAGAGGATGAGAACTTCAATTTTGTCCATGTGCATTTGTGTGTGCTTGTGTTGGGACAGAAATACATAAAAGAAATTGGAAAGGCACTAAATACACTGATCAATGATTTTGGAACAAGCGAAATACAAGGCATTGCCATACCAGCCCCCATGCCCCTCTTCCCTGTCCAGAAGAAATAACTGTTCTATCCTTTACCTACAGGGATATGTTTTGTCTGTTCCTGAACTTCATACCTAGGGAATCATACAATCTATGCTCTTCAACGTCTGCTGCTTTGACTCAGCAGGTTTTGAGGCTCATCCATTTGTCGGGTGTTGCAGTGAACATTCTTATATCAGCCTTTCTGTGAGGATATCTTTCATTTGTCTTGGATAAATAACTAGGTGGATGTACAACTGGGAACATAAAATAACACAACTCCCATAGAAGAATATTTCATGAATAGCTACATGAATCTTCCAGGAGGAGCCATTTTATAGTGACTAGTGTTGTAAACTACGGAGCCCAACTCCAACAGTAGCCTGGGCTACTGTCAGAAGTCTAACACTTTCTAGCTATGTGACTATGGGAAACTTTTTTACCTGCTCTATGCCTCAGCTTCCTCTCTTTTTAAAGATTTAGTTACTTACTTATTTGAGAGAGAGAGAGAGGGAGAAATATCTTCCATCTGCTGATTCATTCCCCAAATGACAACAAAAGCCAGGTCTGAGCAAGGCCAAGGTCAGGAGTCAGAAATTCCCTCTTAATCTCCCACATGGGTGTCAGAGATCCAAGCACTTGGGCCATCTTCTACTGCCTCTCCAGGAACATTAGCAAGAAGCTGGATCAGAAACAGAGTAGCTACAACTTGAAACTGGCACTCTGTGTAGGGGATGCCAGTGTCACAAGTGGTGGTGGCTTAACCTGCTGTGGCCACAGTGCTGCCCGTCGCCCCAACTTCTTCACATATAAAATGGGAATAATAGTTGTATCTAATTTACAGAGTTATT